TTTTAGTAAAAGGAGCTTGAAATGCACATTTTGGGTACTTTGCTTCTTCCTGCTCCTCCGGAGATCACCCCCTTGACTTTTTCCTTGGCTTTGCCTTGACTCAGCCTCCCTCCAGCAGTGTTTTCCATAGCCCCTTCCCTCCAGCCCCCTGCCAGAGCAGCATTTCACTGCCTTCCCTCTCAGACGTGTCTGCTCGGAAAATGTGACAGGGACAGGGGATGTTTCCCAGCTGAGTGACACACACACGTGTGCTCCGTTTGGCTGGCCAGAGGCACACAACGCCACCCCTTTGCTTCATTTCATCCTTCCTTCTCCTAAACGTTTGGACTTACTGCATCTTTTTTTTTACACTGGAAGAGAAGTTCAAATTTTGTCAGTAGCTGCTGGCGTTTGTTCCTGGCTTTGCTTTTCTGCTACATTTCGGTTGTCTGCGTCAGGACTGAAGTTTTCTTTTTCTTCTCTTCTGGCTGTTTCAGTGCCTGAAGTTCTCTGTATGGCTGGGGGGAAAGGGGAGAAAAAAAAAAAGAAAAAAAAAAAAAGGAGAGAAAGAATTGAAAGAATTAAAAATAGAGTTCTGCAAGTGCAATGCTTTCCCTGACTTTTAATACAAATTGTGATTTTGCTAAAGAAACCCCACCGGAATCTCTAGAGTCACTCCTGACCTCAAAATATCTCTTATCTGAAAGAGAAACTCCTTTTATTTCAAATAAGCTTCTGCTGAAATCCTCATGTGTCGTTTCTTAATCAACTCCTTTTAACTACCCTAATTCTGCATTTTTTGATTGGTTTAATCCTTAATCACCAGGAGCAAGAAGTGGAGGGGGGCGGGGGGTGTTTTCCAGCAATGAGGAGAGTCCCTTGCAAGGAACAGTTCCGTGTCCCAGTCTCTGCTGATGCATTTTGTGTCCCAAAGTCCCTAAACCGAGCAGGAGAAGAGCGGTGGGAGAGGAGCCAGGGATGCAGCTGCCAAACCCCAGCCTCCAGCTCCAGAAGAATTTGCTTTTTGGTGCCCGGGTGCCCTTTTTGCTCACGGGGAAGGGCAGGGTCTATTGCTTTTCATAGAATCACAGAATCATAGAATCCCATCATTTTTCATAGAATCATAGAATTGTCTAGGTTGGAAGGGACCATAAAGATCATCTAGCCCAACCACCTCCACATGTACCGTTCTAATCATTGCTCCACAACCAGTGAATTTTATTCCTCATCCCAGAGATCTCCCAGGACCAGTTTTTCATTCAGTACAAATGTTCTCATTATAAAGGCTCCACACGAGGAGAATAGAAATGAGGAGCTGAGCGTACGCCGAGGACTCGCTCACACAGAAACTGCATTGACTGGAGTAAAACACATCTCAGCGTCAACGTGCTCCTGTCTCCAGGAGGGTTCAAACCCTTTCCTTTCCCATTGGAATGGTGGGACTCCCTGCCTCTGGAACCAGGCCAACGCAATGGTTTTGTTTAACTGAAATGTTCAGCTGGGGTCCCCGCCGTACAAAAAATGGAGAGGGTCCAGAGAGGGGCCACCAAGATGATCAAAGGACTGGGAAGCTGCCATGTGAGGAAAAGCTGAGAGAACTGGGTTTGTTCAGCCTTGAGAAGAGAAGGCAGAGGAGAGACCTTATCAGCACGTTCCAGTATTTAAAGGGTGGCACGTTCCATATTTAAAGGGTGGCTACAAAGAAGATGGAGACTCCCTTTTTAGAAGGAGTCACATGGAAAAGCCAAGGGGTAACAGGTACGAGGTATTCCAGGGGAGATTCCGATTGGACACAAGAGGCAAATTTTTCACAATGTGAACAGTCAATCATTGGAATAATCTCCTCAGAAAAGTGGTGGATTCCCCAACATTGGACACTTTAAAGACTCAGATCATCAGAGTTGGGACCATCTTGTCTAGATCATGCTTTTGCCAAGAAAGGTAGGACCAGGTGATCCTGGAGATCCCTTCCAACCTGGAATTCTATGATTCTATGAAATGAAAAGTGCAAAGCATTTCTACAGAACATTATGGTACGGCTGTCATGATCTCCTTGAAAGCAAATTCAGCTTCATCAGTTGCAGAGATTACCCCTTATCACTACCTGAAAACTTAAGAATCAAAATTCCAAAAGGTTTTCACAAATTAAATTATGTCATGACCATGACTTAGAACGATTTTCATAAAGCTAAAACAACACTTACTTTATCCAACTGCCCACTAATTGTGCAGCTGAACCCACTCACTCGGTTCTGGGAAGGTGTATCCCTCAGGAACTGCTTTTGACCAGTGGTTTTGGGCCGTCTCCGCTGCCTCAGGACGTCATCTGTAGATGTAGGCTGTAGTCATCTGTAGATGAAGACTTCAGCAAACAGACACACAGGTCCTCCTCTGACCTCTGGCAGCAGCAGTGAGACCAGAGGAGTCTCTGCAAAGACATCTACCTCTTTGGGATTGGAGTGACAACTTCCCCCCTCCTCCCCAAGGGATGGAAATGGCTGAAAGCTGCAGTACCTCCTCGTTGTCTCGGGCCAAGACAATACGCTGTTGGGTGTTCATGGAGAAAAGACTGAAAGGGTTGTCACACGTTGGAAGAGGCTGCCCTGGGAAGTGGCTGAGGCACCATCTCTGGAGGTATTTAAAAGCCGGGTTGACATAGTGCTTAGAGACATGGGTTAGTGATGGTTTTTGTCAGAGTTAGGTTGATGGTTGGACTTGAGGATCTGAAAGGTCCCTTCCAACCCAGGCAATTTTATGATTCTATGATTCTATCTACGACTGCTTTCAAAAAGATTGTGCAAAACCAAGTCCCGGGCTAGAAGCAGAGTGAAGCAACCCTCAGGTGTCCCATCTGGCTACCAGGCTCCCCCTGAGGCAACCAGATTTCCCCCCGGCTTCCACGGGGCTGCAGCTGGCTCTGCTGGCAGGATTTCATGGGCAGTGACAAACCCTCAGTTTACGCCTCATTTCACCAGCATATGCTCAGACGTAACTGGATTTAAAAAGTAAATGTGGGTTTTCACTAAACTTCAACTTACCAGCTCGTGGTGGAGCACGGTGGCTTTGCTCCTCCATTTTTCCTGCTTGCTGATGGCATGAATGTGTGGGGCATCTCTCAAGGCTTTTATAAAATCAGGATTCTAACGAGAACATGTGAGTCACGTCTAGACTGACATAAAAATGAAACAGTGCCACTCCTGTCACCAGAATGATGCCTGGCTGACACTCTTTGATCCACGGTACACTCACGTGGCCTTTAGGCTAAAACAGCACACACAAAAGCCTGCACAGCCATAATCTGAACTTCTATAGATACATATAACACGAAACCTCTTGAATCCTAACTGTATAACATTGCCGTGAAGCTGTATTTTAACCACCCAAAGTGTCACATTTACTTCAGTAGAAGTAGTAGAGGGCATTACCCAGCGTTGGGTCCCAAAATCTGTACATTTGGATACAATATCTGAACCTGGCCTTAAGTCCCAACCCCTGTTTAAATTTGTACCACCTGCAGTCAACACAGAATCATTATTTATTCCCTTTTCATGAAAAGCTTGATGCATGTTCACCTGCTGCGTTACCTTCCAGCTCCCAGCTGAGCATCCCCGTGCCACGTCCACCCAGGCCTGGAGACATCGGTTCCTACAACCGTCTCTTCCGACATCGGAGAATTGGTGCCTGTTGGTCAGGATTTTTGTGGATTTACTGATCTCTCTGGTTAATCCGTCAACTCCTAAAAACATCTCTGATGCCACGGCTCAACAGTGCAGACAACTCATGGCAAAGGGCTGCTCAGGTGTCTGGAGGGGTTCAAGGCCAGGCTGGATGTGGCTTGGAGCAACCTGGTCTGGTGGGAGGTGTCCCTGCCCAGGGCAGGGGGTTGGAATGAGATGATCTTTAAGGTCTCTTCCAACCCAAACCATTCTATGATCCTATGGGCTTCTGCATCTTCTTCATTCCACGCCTCGACCAAGAGTAGACATCAGGCACAGCTTCTCAACAGCTTCCAGCTGGCCTGGGCCTGGAAGCTAGACTACACTTTGTCACAGGCATCTCCTCAATCAGCAGCACAGCACCACTCCCGAGTATGAGCAAGCGAGAAGGTAGGACTGAAAACAAAACACGGACGAACTCGCACCATCTGCTTTGAAACGCCGAGACGTTCCCAGAATAACCCGTCCATCACCACCTCGAGACATTCCCCCAAAGGAGCACCTAATTAAAAAACAGAATTGTTGTCGGGAAATGATTTATGAGTGTGAGGAAGGCAACATATTTGTTCTGGTGAAGCTCAGAGCTTCCCACCTGCCTATAATAAGTTCAGTCTCTGCGTATCTGCATCTTCAGTGCTCATCTCACAGCTCCAGACGAGAGATTTATTCTTTAATTTGTCTTCACTACCAGTGGGGGGGGAACAAAAAGAAAAAATAGGGAAAGCAAGAAGAAGAGCTGTCATAACAGAATGACTCCAAATGCAGGAATTTTTTTTTTTTACCCTATTTTGCTTTCCATTTTGAGTAAATTAATAGCGGTGCCTTGTGAAAACCAGAAATAAAGGCTACGGTTGGCATTCTACAAGAAAGCAAATGGTTTAGAAACAAAAGTCCCCTTGACTTTCACGGGTTCAAAACATCTGAAAATCAAAGACAGGTTTTAGTTGCTTAAACAGAGGTATCGAGTATCTTTTTAGAGGCTCTGGGGTACCCCCTGGCCCCCAGATTCTGATCCCAAAGAAGACCTTGCTCTCCAGAGCTGCTATTCTTGATGCCATCCACAGGAAGCATCAATGAGCAGAGGCTCTAATATAACCAGCAAACCTCTCAAAGTGCCTGGACATAAATTCAGTGATTAATTTCTACAGTTCTACTTGAAATTTGACAAAAATGAACGTTACAAGCTGAATGGTATAAAAAGGGAGAGGGGTGAAAACGTACACAGAGTGGAAAGGAAAAAATACAAAAATGAACGTTACAAGCTGAATGGTATAAAAAGGGAGAGGGGTGAAAACGTACACAGAGTGGAAAGGAAAAAATACTTTATTGTGGACATGGCATGGAGGAGACATTTCAGAATATACCGTTATATATCAAATGAGAAAAAAAAAACCCAAGCTCTGACGCGTGAGATAAATGAGCGGTTCTTGAGACCAATGGAGAATATGCACACAGCTGTTCTGACAGCACAGTTCTGATACCAATCACAACATATTATACATAGCTTTTATGACCAGAGGCAACTTTAAACTATTTTTATATTAAAAAAAATGCAAATCTTGGACCTGCTCCTGCATTGCTGTACATCCAGTGCCTCCAGGGATCTCGCAGGCATGCGGAGGGAACCACGAGAGCAATGACCCCCCCTTCCTCCTCAGGCAGCAAGAAGGTAGAGATGGAGGAAACATCAAAAAACAGAGACAAAACCCCACTGTTCTACAAAAGTAAAAAGGCAAATATTATCCCAAGGAACGTGATTATTTTCACCAGAAATCTTAATTGCAGCATCCTGGCTCCAGTAAAGCCAATGAGAGTCTGCCATCGAGATCAGCGGAGCCTGAATTTCAATTTAAAACATTCTTGCATTAGTGTAAACATCAGCAGAAACAACACGCCGGCATCTATACAAGTATTCAAGTGCTGTTTAAAAAAAAAAAAATAAAAACCAGACAGTGCAAACCCAAAACATATCCAAAAGGCAGATAATTAAAAGAGTTGTTTTTTTTTTTTTTTTCAAATATACATTTTAAAGTATTTAAAAGCATTCATTTTTTTACAATTGGTATATCATTGCGAGGGAAGGGATCTATAAGGAAAAAAATCTGAATTATTTGCAATGATAAAGGAAGGGCACAGTGTTTGCTCAGATTTGTTTGAAACTAGTATTTTTCCCCTTTGGAGCCATACCTGCCCATTCAAGCTTGTTTCAAATCAGTGCTGAGGAGAGGCTGCCCTTCATCATTATGAAATAAAATCCCACTGTGCGAGTGTTTCAGCCCGATTCCTCAGGAGCCATTTACCCCCAGTCGTATTTCCAGTAAAAAAGAAACAGCAAGGAAAATTTCTTGAAGAAATTTTCTTTTTTTTGTGTGTCTTTAAACAAGGCGATGAGGTTCTAACACGGTGGCAATTCCCAATCATGCCTTTGGAGATCCAGAGTCAACACAACTTTTCCATTCACTGCTCGGGTTGTGCCCGTCTTCAAACAGTTCTTTGCTTATTTTCCTGCGGATTTCGGGCCTGGATAACAGCTCCTTTAACCCATCCAGCCTGGACAACAGGGCCCGCCTTTCTCTGTGCAAAGCTTCTTTTACCAACTCTGCTTCACGGCTCTTTCCTAAAGGAAAATATAATAACAATATAATACATTTTACAACAACTAGTGTCATTTAGTGTCGTTAATTATGGAGATAAAGAGATTGTTATCTGGTTTGGACAGTGTTAATTGCTCAGCCTTTTGCCCGTATTGATTTTTTTTTTTACAAAAAGGTATACTTTGTCAAAAAAATATAAATTACATCAACAAATGCTACCAAAAAAAAAAAAAAAAAAAAGTGAAGAAGAGCAGAGAGTGGCGTTTCAGAGGAACTCCTGCCAGGTGACACACTGGGTAATAGTATCTGCCACGAGCATCTGCCCCCGGGGAATTTTTAGCTCGGGGCTGACGGCTGTTGACCGGGGAACAGCACGTGCTCTGCCCCGGAGCCAGCGGCATCGCCTCTTCCAGGGCCGTTCCTGACCATCCCCAAGGCAAACACAAAGTTTCTCCTCAAAAGCAAAGAAGGGACTCTTGGCCTCAAGAGCCAGTGAGGACCGGAGCCACCTGCTTCATCATTCTTGTCTTTTTTTTATTTCTCCACCGTCCATCCCTCCCAGCATCCAACGAATCTCCAGCGGTGCAAGCGCTAATTAAACCCAGGAGACGGTGTCCTTCGATTCAAAACACACTTTTGATAAGAGACTGGCAAAGCAGAGTGCCTGTCACCCGGCACCACTTAGCAAACTCCAGCAGGGCGAGCTGGGACACGGGGTTTTTTTTTTTGGTGGTTATTCCTGGTGGGACATCTGCCCCCGGCCTCACTTGGTGTTCTCGCCGTCGCTCTCCTTCTTAGCGCCGCTGGCCGCTGCTTCGCTCTTGACGGGGCTCCCATCAGTCTGTCTGGTTTTGGTTTGGGTTTCTTCTAAGTACTGCTGCACCGCCTTCAGCACGGCGTTCTCCACCAGCCTTTTGCTGAGGCTCAGCAGCTCGGCATCGTCGGGCTCCACCGCCTGCTTTTCACCTACGTGTCACAACAGACAAGAGAAGGAACTCACTGCCACGCAACGGGAGCAGCCCTCCTACCAGGCTGAGCTGGAGATTAAGTTATTGGTGTTTCTTCCTGAATGTAAAAAGCAGTTTCCCCCCCTTTCTCAAGCTTCAAGTCAAAAATGTTTCATGAAGCATACCAGATCAAAGTATTTCACTGCTCACCATCACAGAATCACAGAATGCTATGGGGCTGGAAGGGACCTCTGGAGATCATGTCCTCCAACCTCCTGCCAGAGCAGGGCCACCCAGAGCAGGTCCCACAGGAACGTGTCCAGGTGGGTTTTGAATGTCTCCAGAGAAGGAGACTCCACCACCTCTCTGGGCAGCCTCTGCCAGGCCTCTGCCACCCTCACAGGAAAGAAGTTCCTCCTCGTGTTGAGATGGAACTTCCCACGTTCAAGTTTGTGCCCGTTCCCTCTTGTCCTGTCCCTGGGCACCACTGAAAAAAGACTGGCCCCATCCTCCTGACACCCACCCTTTCAGTATTTATAGGCGTTGATCAGATGCTCCCTCAGCCTTCTCTTCTCCAGACTAGAAAGACCCAAGTCCCTCAGCCTTTCCTCATCAGAGAGATGTTCCAGGCCCCTCATCATCTCTGTAGCCCTCTGCTGTCCCCTCTCCAGCAGTTCCCTGTCCTTCTCAAACTGGGGAGCCCAGAACTTGACCCAGTGCTCCTGATAGGGCCTCCCCAGGGCAGAGCAGAGGGGCAGGATGATCTCCCTCCACCTGCTGCTCACACTCTTCCTGATGCACCCCAGGTTACAATCATTATTATAACATTCCAGTAGAAGCCTACTACGAGCTAACACCAGGAGCACCCACTTGGCTTAGAAGAAGAATGCAAATTTGATTTCTTGTGGCCAACAACCACCCATCTGAGCAAAGATGCCGAACCTGGCACGCGATGAGTTTACATTTTAGCAGCATTCCTGAAATTAAGCTGCCCCCAATTTTTGCATTTTGCGTAATAATTCTAAAGACCTTCTCCCTGTTTATTCACTGCTTGGAATTCAAGAGTTTCTCATGGGAAAAATGACTAAAATATTCTAAGGGCAGGTTAGAAATTTTTTTTCTAAACAAAGCATAAAATTTGGAAAAGCCATGTGCTCCCTCCCTGTCTCTCTTCTGTCTTCTAACTTAAAGCTCCTGACGCTGAAGGAACGCAAGGTCCAGCAAGTCTATTCTTAGGTATCTGCTGATAAAAGCAAAAAGCTGGCATTTCCCTGCTTTGTTAAGAGTTCACATGAATAAACATGGACAACAAAATAACCTCACACACAGGGAGGACTCTCATACACACACGTGTGTTAGAAATTGTACTTTTCCATTAGTCTCCCTCCTAATAAACCATATAACCTACCACAGCATCCTCCCTTTATGAAGAATCCAATCCAGGCAAAGCAGATTTTATTGTCCAATCTCCACTGGCCACGAAATTTGTCACTTTGCAATTTCTTGCACTGGGTAAATAACTGTTTCCCTCCATCTATATCTAAAGGCCACACTTTTTAATGTCCTTTTCTGGAATTAGCATTCTGCCACCAGTAATAAGAGGCTGCTTAGTCACACACATCTGGTGAAAGAGATACCATTGTGTGCTCTCAGCACAAAGCTTTGCACTGTTCAATTATCCAAATTTGCTCTTTTTCATGTATGTAAATTTATTCAAGTTTGCCAGCACGTATAGACTGCAGTTATAAAAGACTTTTATTAGTCTTCTTAGTGGATTGCACAACCCAGGAGTGATTTCACTGATAAAATTCATATGGGCATCTTACTCCGGAACAGCAAGAGACCAAACTCTTCCAGTTCTGGGCCTCCACAGCTCTTACTGGGGGGGAGGAAGAACTGCACTGGAGAGGCATCAGACTGGAGCTGGGTAAAGCATTTCATTATGTTTTGGAACCAGTTTGGGAAAATAATCTCAAAATTATTTAAAAAGGCAGCTATGGCAACAGTTCTGGTTAAAACAAAATAAAAAAAAAAATAATAGAAAAATAATTAAAAATGGGTTTAGCATTTCCAAGAAGAAATATTTTAGATTAAATTCCCAAAACCACTCAGAAACCTATATACTCCACATTCCCTGGCTCACTGCTTCCCATGTTCTTTCACTGTCTCCAAAACCTGGGCTTAAACCCATCCTTTAACTTACTTAGAGGAGGGACTTAATTCAGGCTCTTATCTCTCAGGAGTCCTAAGATATATATGAGCAACATCTCCTCCCAGCTTTTATTAATTGATCCCACACGCTCCTTTGAATGCAGTCCTTTGAATCCAAATTTCCTTCACTTTTATTAAAGATGTTTGACAAAATGTTTTGGTTGCCCCAGTCTACTTATTCACTAGGAAAAAAAAAGAAACAACACCACTGTGGTTTCCAGTCAGAAAGTTTCTTATTTTTCAGAATAGCTGGTGAATCACAGAAAGTTACTCACACAGCTCTAACGATCTGTCCGTGCAACTCTGGCCAAAATCAATAGGAAATACGGTGCTCAGTCACTCTGACACTTGACCTGGTAGTACTTAATATGCAGAATAGGATTGATCAGTCAGAGAGGCCTCCAGATTCATGGATTTGACAGAGTTGGAAGGGACCTCCAGAGATCATCTAGTCCAACTCCAATACCACAAAACAGAAGTGATTGTACTTACTCAGAATGTAATTCTACTTGTAGGACACTATATTACAGTCTAAAAAAGGACAGAGCTCTTCTCTCAACAATACTTTCTGCAAAATATTTCTCATTTACATATATATGTATAAAATCCATACCAATCTATTAATACTTTTAAAACTTCAAATTAAGTAGGTAGCTCACTGTAGTAAGTAATTTCTCGAGCATGAAAAAAGCCAGGCTACTTAAAATAAATATTTTAAAAGTACAGAAGAATATTTCGGGGGGGTTTTGTTGCCATTTGTTTGTTTTCAATATTTTGAGACATTGATGGCTCACCAACAGCCTGGAGTGGAATCTATAGCATCTCCTAAGTGAGATCTGCACTCCCATTGGGAAGACATCCTTGGGATCTAACCTGTACGTGCACATCCCTGTATGAAGAGCACCCTTGGATTTATCTGGTCTGTGGGGCTCCGTGATTCACTCCTGCTCTGTTTATATTCTCGGACTCCCTAAATAGCAGTTGTGAGAGTGTGTGTGCAAGGCTGAGATTCATTGGCAAGGTATAGCATCCTATCATTCCTATTTATGACTGTTGGCAAAAGGAAGTAGGTCACGCAATAACAACAGGGATTGATCATCTGTATTTGTGTCAATATCTAACACACATATATGTCCTATTTATATCTCCCTCTGTGCTGCATCTGCCGCTTGCCTGCTGCTTTGATATAATACACAACTCCTTTGCAGCAGGCAAATACTTCTTTAGCTAGACTGTCCTGTTATAGAAGTCATCAGAACATCAGTAAAAAGTCACTGTAGATATGAATGGTTTAGATTTAAAAGGGAGGTTTAAAAATGCAGAATTGCTTCGTTTGTAAGCTCTGAAAAGGGAGCAGAAACACCACATGCACTGTCCTTGCATCCATGCTGTGTCTTTCAGTATGGACGGGGCCACCACTTTATGTCTCTGCCTGCAAATAAGAAACTTCCACCGCCTTCTCCTGCCTGTGGCTTAGAATAAAAATGAAACAAACAAACAAAAAAAACCAACCAAACAACAACAAAAAAAATCTTTCATTTTGTTTATCCCAGAGCAAAAAAAAAAATCTTTCATTTTGTTTATCCCAGAATTTTCTTCTATAATTCTCAAAAGACACAAACAAGTTCATGCTTTGTGAATGTATCTCAGTGATTCCGTGCTTTTTATTATGGAAACTGTCCTGAAACCACTACCATTTTTTACAAAAGGGAACTGTCAACTGCACAGAATTATTCCAAAGGGGCTTTCTGCTCCTACAGCATCCTGCTGGCAATTATGGACATTAACCAGATCCCTGCCACCAAATCCAAGCTCAGATTCAAGTTCACTGCCATATCTCTCCACTGGACCCAGTTTCCCCTCCA